CACTACCCTGGTGGCACAGTCATAGGTAAAGGACTGGGGACATCCAGGAAAAATGACAGTGTCAACTTTTCTATTTCCTTCCTTAAATTCCCTGAAGGAAATCAGTGCAGATCCAAAAGTGTTAAGAAAAATGCAAACTGCTGCTGTTTAGTGCTGAGGATGGAAGAGTCACACAGCCCAGGCTGCCACAGAGAGATGCCTTTCTCCAAAGGAATCCCACATCTCAAACCCTCTCTAACAAGTATGTATGTTAGCAGCAAGTCTATAAAGCAATACAGATCCTATAGACCTGAAGATATGCGTTAACACAGGAGCTTCTGGTACAAAAAAAGAAATGCAAAAAAGCCTTTAGATATACAACCTATTAAAAACAACCGTAACAAAATCTGTTAAAACCCTCTTCTGTAGGAAAATGGTATTTGAACCTTCTTTAAAAGAAGTAGGTATCATTTTGATGCCACATAACTTAGAAAAAAAAATATTTTAACAATCTGTCCAATTCTGACATTGAAAAAGATAGGTTTGGTTTTTCTAAATCCTCAAAATCCAAGTAAAAAACCATCAATTCATTATAATATATCTCTCTACCCCTCACTCCCAAATTCCAGATTAAACCTTTGGTTTTTTATTTTCCCTTCCAGTTCAGGACATCTTTTTCCACAGAAAGCCTTCAAGCTATTTCATGGGTACAACATCTGTTTTCTGACCCATGCAAACGATGACGTTTGTATAACAGTCTCAAGTTACTTCCAGAGTGACTGCTCACAGCTTGCAAATAGTACATTATTCCTGCAGCTGCCAGTTCTCTAAAATTGTCCTGGGATCCAAAATCCACTTTAAGGTCCAATATGATCATCAGATTCAACCTTCAGTTCACACTCATGTAACAGAGTTGCTTTCCATGTGGTAGTAAATGAAGACTGAATTGGAGTCTAGCCATGAGCCCAAACTTCGGCGCCAGCAGCACTGAGTCCCTATAGTTGTGCTACGTCTCCAGAAGAGGGAAAAGAAAAATGGACAAAGCTTAACTTTGTCACTTCCAGAGTCAGCTCTGCTCTAACCCCTGTCCCCTGGCAAAGACAGAAAGATGGAAAAAAGGATTTACAAATACAAATTCAGAACTGAATCTTCACTACAACAATTTTTTTTCAGTTATTATCCTGCAGTGCTGTTCTATCTATCTTGTATATGTAACATTACACAAAAAAGTCATTAAAGGTACTCTAGTTCATTTGCTTTGGAAAGTGTTCACTTTTCTGTACACGTTTTATTTCTATACCAAAATCCAGAAAGATAAAATCCACTTTTGTGCGGGTAAAAGGCTTTGAACATACAAAGCACTAGGTAAGTGCTAAGAACGTTGTTCCCAGAATGTGGCAGGAATATCTGTACAGGTACACAGCTCTTAAAGGAAAGGAAAGCATGCAGCCAAGAGCAGGCTAGCTGCTCGAGCACTGGCTGAGGTGGAAGAGACACGTATGTGTCCTTATTGCACTTAATGACTATAGGTGGTTGCTTTCAGTCAAGCCTGAACTACAAGACTATGACTCATGCTTCTTTAACAGAAAAGGAATGCCCCAGTCAGCAGCATGGGACGGGAAAGCTGAACCAGTGCCCCAGCAACAACACCATGAAACAATGTGTAATGCTCTGCTCACGAAATTTAGGAGGCAAAGTGCTTCAGAATTGTACAAGCCAAATTTTCAGAGCAATAGCCACCAGAATCAGTCCCACGAATTTGGCCTCCCAGCACACAAAGCCTGGGACAGCCCATCTGCAGGTTGCTGATAATTTATGTTTGCAAGACACTCATCGCGCTAGTGCCTCATTCAAGATGCAAGCTGGTTCCACTGAACTTGCGATGTACAATATTGGAATATCAGAGTCAAAGCACCACTAGGAGAAGTGGACCTGGAAACACCACATTTGTTTCATGAACTTGGTATTTTACACTATTTATAGCTTTTAGCCACTACACATTTTAACCAATTGACTTGTACTTGAACTGTAATAGACATTCTAGTTTTAAATAATTTTCAAGGTCAGATTAATCTTGTTACATGTTCTCTCACTGTAAAGTGGCACAAAGTTACACCTGACTTGCAAGATAAACCTAAATAGAGATCCCTTTGCATGCCATGCAGTTCTACCTAGAATTATTAACAGTTACAGAGAAAGAAAAGAAGTCCTTCACAAAGGCAGAGGAATGCCATTAAGGCTAAAGCTTTCTAACAAAGTCACCCCTATTACCCTGCTGGCCCTTCTGCAGCATCACATCACAGCATACCCATGAAATCAAGGTACTTTACCAAAATCTGGCCCCAAAAGAGCCTGCATGACTCAGCTTTTCACTGGGTAGCTCTGGGTAGTTGCTGTGTGTCTGTCTCAACCAGCCATCCAAATCAAGCAGGAACAGTCTTCTAAGCTTGGCACTTGAAGTGGTACCCACAAGGTCCGGACAACCTCCAGCAGCCTGCAGCCACCCTGTAACTCCCTAACCCTATAATGCCCACATTCCTTCAGAGTCCCAAGGAAGGATTTAGGGCAAGATCAGCAAGATCCTGCTGTTTTTCAAGTGCAGTTTGTCCTTGCAGACCAAAGCATGGTTGCCGTTACAGATTTGCACTTGTGTTAGAACAACAGCTGCAAAAAACAGCTGCTGCAAGTTTCAACAGCAGCAATTCCAGCTGTGGAAAAATATAATGAGCAGGAAGACTAACCACCAGGCTTTGGTAACAGTTCTCCCTTTTGGTGGCTTTTTATTCTTCCTTTATTGTGTCTGTGATCTCCTAATGAAAGGAACTGCAAAAGGGGGTGAAACAGGCCGGAAAGAAACAGCAAATGAGAAAGACCATCATCTTCCAAAAAGCCTCTATGAATTGACACAACAGAAGTAATGACTTCTTTGGCCTTTTTATGAACTTCTGGCAGTTTATGGGTTTGGATTTCACAGTAGAAGATATGTTCACCCTAAGATGCAGGTTCCTAACTGCCACTACTGCAAATGATGGTTTGTTGTGGTTTGTTTGTTGTTTGGGTTTTTTTTTTTTTTGGGGGGGGGGGGGGTTTGTTTGTTTGTTTGGGGTTTTTTTAAGTTTTTCAGGAAGCAATTTAGATTAGTTTAGTTTAGTTTCCTTATGTTAAGTAATGGATCTGGTAAGGATGCCCAATTATAAACATATCTTTTATTTACCTGATCAATAGTCATGCCTTGTGGTACACACAGGTGTTACTCAAGGCACTTTTGAAAACATGAGATCTTGATGCAAGAGGCCATTTAATTGTGGAGGATAAATCCTTCTCTGAAGGAGCCACCGCATTCTGCTGGGCTGGCCTCAAGCTGTACTGCTGAACAGCTCTAGGGCTGCAATGGCCATTTTTGCTATGCATCACATGTGTCTGGATTCTCAACCAGTGCAAAAGGAGAGGCAAAAACCCCTATCACACTGAGGTGCAGCCCCAGGCAGAGTCCAAAACCTCAGCTCCAACCAGGAGAGCAAACAGGATCCAGTGTAAAAGCCTGCCCTGCTGCAGCCCTGACAAGCCAGTAGTGCTGCGTGGAGGATGATGTTCCAGCCTAGGAGGTGGAGATGGGGTCTGAGCATGGTTCAAGACTGGGAGATGCTGATGGGAGCCAGCTAAGAGGAGGGTCAGAGCATCTAACACAGGCCTAAGAGCCTTAGTATATGTAACAACCAGCTGTGTGGACACTGCAATCCTGCTCTTGAAGCGTTCCCCTCTATGCACCAAAACCTTCCACGAGTCCAGGGTAAGAGCAGTGGGCAGCACCCTAGGGAGGGATCTCCCCAACACACCCACTGATCTCCTACCCAAACAGTATAATTCAAGTGCCTTGGACCAAGGAGAATTTCATCCTGACAAGTTATTTTCTCTTTCTCAAAGGCAGGTGCAGAGTGATAAACATCCTCAGAAAAGAGAGTGAAGGGGGATTAGCTGCAGCTTTTAACTTCAGACTTTCAAATCTGCTCACATGGCTCCCAAGGAGCTGAACTACCATTATTCTCTCCCTTCCTTGGACTTTGTGCAAAGTCTTTTTGCCCGGGGCAATAGGGGGGCACAGCGGGAGAGCAACCTCAACCCTACAAAAACAGGACATCCTAATGAAGATACTGACAGAACCAGACACCATCGCCCAGTGCTGCAAAGAGAATCTACATAATGTTACTTTAACAGTTCAATAAAAATGGCATCAGTAAAAGGAGGCTTTCAAGAAAGAAGTTACCCCCAACCACACAGGGAGTGCAGCTGAGAGAGTTTCTGTTAGTTTCATTTTGTTACATAAATCACCATTATTATTTCTTACTTATGATGTTAAAAGAGCAGGAGGATACTTGAAATAAAAGGCTCTGCATGCACAATACCCACATGAATAAATTCCAGTGATCCATTCCAGCACCGGACACGGTGCCCTTTCCTGGTCACTGAGCTGAGCCCTCCTTTCTGGAGTTGGGGAATTCATCAACAAATATACAGTATATTATAATGGAATGATAGCAGGAAACAATACTAACTGGAGTCTGAATGTGTCCTCCATGTGGTCACATTAATCTATTGTTTAACTCGGCAGAAAAGACATTGAGGAAATAAAAGCTCAATTCACCCAGCCTGAGATCAAAACTGTCATGGCAATATTGGCAGGTTAGACCCTGATTCTTTAAATAGTACATTGCCTTTGTTAAACAAAAGTCATTCTTTTATTACATAATAGAGATTATAAATAAATGTAAAGTGTGCATGCAGTCAACTGCATATTATACAAGCAATATCTATGTTAATAATTGTTTTCTTTGGCAGGCCAGAATCCAGCTGGACATGCAATATTTACATATCAAAATCCTTGGTGTGTTCAAGTCATATTGGATGCAAGTGAAAATATATATGTATATATATTTACCGTATACACACACACATATATATGTATAAAGGTATATATGCACCTCTGCATATATACTGTATACATATATACACATAGGTATATGCTAAAAGTGGATTTCATCTTTTTCTGATTCAGGTGATGCAGGCCTTGAAACACTAAAAATATCCTGACAAGGTATCTGGGGGGGCCGCTGGGGTGATAAATGGGATTTGGGGGAAGAGATCTGGGGTACGTTCTTTTCGGACAATATTTTTAAAATTTCTGCCACCTGATTTTCAAGGGCAGCCATCCTACTGCTTAGCAGCTGGATATCTTCTTTGAGTTCGTGTTTGACTTCCTGCAGCGTGGTTTGTAAGGCCTGCTCAGGAATAGGGTAGAAAGGATGTCTAGCATCAGCCTGAATGGGGCTGTGCTCCAGGGGGCTGCGAGTCTCACCAGCTTTATCCAAGCGAAGGTCACTTTTTGTTATTCCACTGTCACAAGAGTCTGTTTTCCTCAGTGGGTTTTTATTTACACCATTCTCCGAGTCATTGCACTTGGAGTCATCAGACAGCAACCCCATGGACTCAGCCTTCGTGACGTTGTTCCAGTCCTCCTTCTTCTCCTCGTGGATCCCCATGGTGTTCTTCAGTCGAAGCCACCCTTTCCCGTTCCCGTTTTTCATCCGCATGGGACTGTTTACTTTCAGGCATTTTTGGTCTCCGTTTCCATTTGGCTTGAGCTCCATCACATCCCTGTTGTTCTGCTTCATGGCCTCACTGGTTTTCATGTAAGCCAGGGATGTCTGGATGGGGGTGATCTGAGATACGGTGACCACACTGGTGCCTGTGATGGAGGCCCCATTCTGCACGCTCCGGCTTTCCACCTGAAGCTGGTTCCTTTCTGGGTCAATGTGGGTTGAGCCTTGATTACGCATCTCCTTTTGCTGTTTGAATTTCTGAAATAGTTTCCGCACAGGGTGGTCCACAGGGATGCTCAGTGTCACCTCGTTCTTCTGGCGCAGGCGCTCCTCTTCTTCCTTCTTGACATCGCTGATCTTCCGGAAGATGATCTATGGGGGATGAACCCACAACAGAGTCAGTACCTGAAGGACATCACATACGACAAACATTACTGGGAGATGGGGAAACAGTATTGAGAGAACAGCCATTTCCCCTTCCTTTCTATCTTAATTTCTTGTAGTGAATTCAAATAGAGCTGATTGAGACATAGTAACCTCAGATATATGTTGCTGCATACATTATACACACACATTTTCTTCAAAGTAGAGATTAAAAGTGGCTTTCACCTTTATTTTTTATGCAGAAGATAGATTCTTGAAGAACTAAAAATATCCTGACATCAAGAGAAGGAAAGAAACTGAATAAAAAGAAGAAAGAAAGTGAGCAAGAACCCAAATACCATGATACTTACCTACCCATTACTCACACTCATACCTGTCACTACCTTTAGTACAGAACAAAAGAAAAAAGTAATTCAGTGGAGACTACACAGCTGTAAGTTTAACCCAATGTACACACCCTTACAGAGAGTGGAAAACCCAAACGTGCTCAATGCTTTTTAGCTCTGCATACTACTAGTTTTCTAACAGTGGCTGGAAGGTGCAATTAGATTCCCCATGTGCTGTGTTGTGTGGCTTGAAACGGCAACACAAGTCTTTCCTGGAGAGTTTATATGTCTAATATGTGTGAGTGTACTGGAAGCACCATGGAGAAGCACTGTAACAGGGGGATGTGATTATAAAAACCTAGCAATATCCATCGTTTCATAATGCCATGCCATTTAATGCTGCAGTTATTTCACCCTGCAGCATCTCTCAGGCCTCTAGGGGAAAAAAGAATATGAGCCTCAAGCTGTGGAAGGATCCACACAGTAAAAACCTTTCACACTTTATTCATGTGAAATATTTTTAATTTTTGGTTCATCTGGTTTTCTTGAATGTGTGACTGAGGCAGGATAGGGAAACTCTGGTTCTCCCGATGATCATACTGAAGTGAAAAGCAGCATGTGATTAAATGCAAATACGGACTGTGTAGGGACAGCGTTGTTAAGAAAAGTAAAAGAAAGCCCCTGCAAAACACTAACAAAACTCTGTGACAGTCAGATGTAGGTTTTGAAGTATCCATTTGAGTATTCTTATTTCGGTATCTGTTTATTTTTTATAAAAAGGCTTCTCACGCCTGTCCATATTTGCAAAGAAACAATTGCTTTCAAGTCTCACATCTTCAGAAGTCGGCAGAGGAGTGCCACAATGGCTACAGCTTCTTCCTTGCATGAATCTGGGATGAGCTGGACTTCAAAGCTTAATTAGAGAGCTTTCAAATGCAGTAAATATATCATTGTGTGCTGCTGATAGATGCAGCTGCTTATAATAATTTGGAAATTTAACATGTTTATTAGAAGCCTAGTTAAAAAAAAAAAAAAAAAGACAAGAGAGAAACATGGTAGATACTTTCATCTGACTCCTCTGACCTAGATGCAGCAACACAACACTCGTTTGGAAGCTCCCCTTCATTAGCACCTGGATTCTCAACCTGGAGCAACTCTCTCTCTTGGACAAGCCACTGGAGACAACAAATAAATGCAAGAGAAGCTGTCCTTGATTCAAAATTAAGTAATTCCATTTAATTAAAACCACGCTCTCTAAATGAAGATTTGGAAGGTGGGTTGTGGTGTTTTGTTTGTGCCTTTCTTTCCCTGGAGGGCAGCATGGTACCTCTGGCAGATGACACAATGCTGAAAGCAACTAGCCACAAAGATGTGTCCCCAAGCTGTGTCTCAGAGAAGATGGTCGATTCCTCTGCTGGTCTCCCTGTCTGGCTGTGCTGCTCTGCTCTGTGCTGTGCCAGGCCCGAATGGATGAGTCCCTGGAAACATCTGGGGTGGGGAAAACATCCTCTACCCACTGTTTCCCTGCTTTGTAACCATGACCCTATTTTGCAGCTTGAGCACCCTCCTCTCCTCCAGCCAGCTTATGCCTGGCAGATGGTGGCTGCAGACAGCCCAGGATGCTGCAGGACAGGCAGCTCGCAGGGGCTGGTAGTGCTCCTGCCTCCAGTGCAGCAGTGAATGCATGGCCGGGAGAGGTACGAGGTACCTTTGAAAACTTCTGTGCCACCAGACGTTTATAAAGACCAGAGTGATAACAACAAACACAGCACCTCTCCAAACACTTGTGCTTCACTGAAAACTGCCCTCATCTCCCTTTCCTTCCACCAGCCTGCTCTTTCTCTTTAATTTTTCCCTTTTCTCATCTCACTTCAAAACTTTCCAGACAGAGGTTATCTCCCTGCACAGAATATAATTACCCGTGACCGCTGATGCTGCTTTCTGCAGAAGAAAAGCCAAGACGACTAATTTGACACCGCCTGACACCTCACCTCCTGAAGTGAGGCCCTTCTGAAAGCCAGGAAATCACTATGGGGTTTTTTTGTCCCAGAACCACTTGGCCAGATGTCACTCAGATGAGCCTTGCCAATGGCATGGGGGTCTGAGCCCGAGTGCTGGTGTGCCTCAGCATGGGGACAACACTTTGGGGGAAGGTAAATGTGTCCCTGCTACAGTGATGGGCAGCCAAGGTGACAAATGCCATCAGATCTCCAGTGCAAATCTGCTGCAGCCAAGCGAGACCAAGGACCCAGTAACTACTCAGGCATGGGCTTTCTTCCCACTTTTTCTTTCCACACCCATACAATGGAGAAGTCACACTCTCAAAGTCCTGGTGTCACCTCCCCAGGAGATATTCCTTCAGCCTCTTGCAGGACACAGGCAGGAGCTTGGCAGAACTCTTCAAGGAATACTTTCCTCTTTCTCTGCTTGGGACAGCAAGTGCTACACCCTGGAATGAGTATGGGCAGCTCCTTTGAAGAAGTATGCTTGTTGCATTCTGAGTTAGTGCAGAAAACGACCAGAGACTTATAAATCCAGTGGTTAACTGGGTGTCGAGAATTTAGGACTGATTTACCTTGGTAGAGCCACATTTCCAAGGAAGCAAAGGTGGGCTGATGTAGCCCTGAGGTAGCTGTAGGGCTGAGGTAGCCCTGTGCCTACCCTCCCCTTGGCTTTCTTATGTAACCTGTATGTCAATAAATCATGGAATGGTTTGGGTCAGAAGGGGACCTTGTGTTTGTAGCTGTTTGCTATTTTCTTTATCACTCTAAAATGCATAACCAAGCAGATCCTCATATCCCAGCTGACACTGTGATATTATGGCACTTTGGAGACTGGGGACTTGGTTCCCATTCACCCACTAAATTACTTTGTCACCACAAGGAAACCGTTTCACCCCTGCATCACTCCATGGAGACTGTCCCCTCTTCAAGGTGTCCACCAGCAGCCAATGGAGCACTACGCCTTGCACAGCAAAGATCTAGTCTTGGTCAGGACTACTTCATATCATTACAATATCAACAAGTAAAAGAAAAAAATAAATCCTCTTATATAAAGAAGGGGGGGGGGAGGGAAGACATGTGAATTCTAGCAGTAATAGTTGTTTTTTCATTACCAAATTTTTCCATATTAGGAACTTTTTCATGTGGTTGGATTTAATTAACTTCCACAGTGGTTTAACCTAAAACAGAATAGGATTAAATGTGTTTACATAGAGACTTAATTCTATTAATGTCTAATAACTATTAGTGGCTATTTTTCTCTACAAATAAGAAAAGAAAAACACCTCATGCGATCCGACATTCCTCAGCAAATTAGGAGAGGCTTATTTTGAAATCTTAAATTGGATGAGCTATTTCAGTTGTCCCTGACCCTTTTCAGAGAGGTTACACATAGGCCTGTCCAAATGTATGTCCCAGGAACAGACACAAACCCCAAAGGAGATAATCAGAAGAAACTGAATTAACTGTGCATATAGCACATCTCAAGGAGTAAAGAGCCACACTCCTGTCTCAGGGCAAGCGCTAAACTCATTAATGTGATGGAGACTCAGTGTAGGAACTTCATTTCCTTTATGAATGGGATTGTGAAAGACTGCCCCAAGTGACACAAATCCTGTCTCATGAGACCAGGTTCCGGTTTTTCTTGCTTTTAATGTATTTACTTTGGGAACAAGGGGAAATGTAGGTGATGTTAATTATTGAGCTTGCAAAGGTTAAGTAGAAGTTAACTGATGGCCAGCTCCAGGACCTGAAGTATTTGGCTTATCTATGAGGCAGGCACAGAAGAGGCAACTGCAACTTGAGATTCTCCATTTGATCTTAAGCTCAAGCTCCTTTCCTTCCCCTTCATACTGAGAAATAACTTGCCATGACTGCAAACTCAGCCCATCGCCACTTCCAATCAGGGACCTTACCAGTACCACTGGCAATGGGTACATTATTGCTGGAGCAGCTCCTGTGAAGTGCTAGCTTGTATAACCAAACACAAAGCCAAGTGCAGACAAGAGCAGCAGCAATGAGAGGCCAGGGAGCCAGCCCAAGGCTGAGACACACTCAAGTTCTCCCATCTGCTGCTGAATTAATCAGTAAAGCTGTGGCCTTTCCAGATGCTTTCAAATGCATCCCTCGTCTGCTGTCTTTTTTTGTATGAGTACTGAGAAAATCATCCCTCCACAACCCTGCTCCATTCACTAAGACCCCTTACTAAGTGACTCCAAGGGAGGTATGTGAATGGATTCAAGAATCATAGAATCACAGAATGGTCTGGGTTAAGGATCATCTAGTTCCATCCTCCCTGCCATGCACAGAGACACCTTCCACTAGAAGAACTTCCACTAAAGAACTGGTAATAGTCTTGAATAATTACAGTAAGTTCACAAAGGTGGCAAATATTTGACCAGAGATCATCCTGTCCCATTCCTAGAACATCCCATGCTGTTGTTAGTGGAGTTCAATACGCACCTACCCCTCATCACAGAAATTCACAGAAATGTGTAACGGTATAGCAAAAGGGCACACAGTTGTCATGGTGATGAACACAGCAGATGTGCACTGAGTGAGAGAGAGGGAAAGCCACACAAGGCCATCAACATAAAGATTTTCACAGCGACCAATAAACTCTGGGTGCCCAAGCTGTAGCATCCTACAAACATGGCTGATG